TTTAGAGTTGTCGGCTGTGCCGTCTTTTCTCCTTCAGTGTATCTTTTTCTCGGTCCTTCACTGCGTGTGCTATGTGTTTCTCTCACCTGACTCTACTGCACTAATTTCCTTCTGTATCCATTCCATTGTCCAGATCTGCAAGTCCAGGCACATAGTTGTGATTGGTTTGCTTCCCTCTCAGGGCTGTTGATCTAATTTCACAGATGCAAAATTCTGTTGAATCTTTAGAGATCACCATTTGGATAGTATCTAGTCTTTTCCTTTCATTTTTTGCAGCAAATCTCCTCTACAGAGAAACATGGCCCCTGATCACTTCCTTATCAGAACCAGCAGCACTGCACAACTCCAGGAGCCAAGCCTGGGTCCTCTCTCTGCTTTAATCTGCTTTCTGCCTGAGGACATTTGTCCCTTAGGACTGTCCTTCGGACTTTTGGCTTCTGCAAAGATTTGGGAAGGGCAAGGGATTGTGATAGACCATCAGAGCAGCCTTGGAAGTGACTGAACTGGAATAAGACTTCCATAGCTTTGGGAAAGGTTGCTAGTGGTGAAGGTCAGAGTGCAGCAGCAGAAGTAGAGGCAGACATGTTACCTGGATGGTGCGTCACACTGTAGGGTTCAGCAGGTGGGGACAGGTGTGCTGTGAGGCCTAAAACACCCTTATTTCTGGCACAGACTGTGTATTTGTACTGAGATACAGGAAGTGCTCATGTTACTTTTCCAGGGTGCTTCACAAAGCTCTTGCTTACTTCTTCCTAGAGCTCCTCTAGATGTACAGTTGTTTTTCTGGAATTGCAGTTTGGTCAATGCTTGTACTCCCTTCTCCTCTGGCCCTGATAGCCAGCAGATAGGCAGTGACTCAGGAGAATTGCTTCTGTACCAGCAGAGAGTGGTTCTTTTTGTTACAGCTAAGGAATACTGTGATACCCATTCATACCATCAACTCATCAACTCTGTGTCTCACCAGCAAACAGAAGTGATGCTGACCCCTCTCTTCTGATTGTCTATGTGCTTGGGGCTTCATTTTTACCAGTTCTTCTTCCTTTCACAATGCCTTTGTTCACTTCTGAGGGTATAGACAATGAAAATCACTCTAGACTTTTACTCTGATTAGTGACTCTTCACCCTGATGACGTCTAGCTGAAGACTGACTTGTGTCTAGGTCTAACATAGAGGTTCACTGGAAATGTGGTCCTTGGTACCAGGTCTGCATCACTTGGAACTTGCTAGAAATGGGATGACGATGCTTCACATCTGGCCTAATAGATCAAGAATTCCAGGGCCAGAACCCAGCAATCCCTGAGTCATGCAAAGGTGGTCTGTTTTGTACTTGAGTACCACAGCGCCAACAAAAGCTAGAACTGTCATCCTGTGTTTTTCATCTCAACCTCACAAGAAGCTTTCCCCCAAAAATAAACCATATAAGATGGCTTTGAAAAGCGTAAGGATTCCATAAAGGGTTCAGCGCCCACTGCCTCTGACTTAGAGTTCACACAGCTTTTCATTTTGTTCAACTTAATATTTTCCAAACTGATTTGGTCCCAGAATTCTTTATTGCTGTGTAGTGTTCTCGGTCCTGTGTCACTACTCCTCAGCATCTTTTCTTTCTACCTCGCTCAAAACCTGAGCACTTGAAACTCAATATCTCTGAGCTTCAGCTTCTGTCAGCTTGGGTGTCATCAAGTGGAATTTTCCTGTACCTTACATTTCCACCACATATTCTGGCTACAGGCTTGGAGAAGAGTCACAGCATGCTCATCATGCCATGGGGGTGAGGTTTGTGGAAAGATGGTAGACTTGGAAGACAGATAGACGTAGAGAAAATCCAGGCTTTTCCACAGGCAAACTCTATGGACTTGGAGAAATGGCTGTTTTCATAAAGGTCTTAGGGATGAGTAAGAAAATAGTGCAGAATGCAATCAACATGGTATCTAATGCCAGAGGATCCAGGCACTGGCTCAGCCATCTCCCAAGTTCACACGCCTTTGGCCTTGTTTTTCTATCAACAAAATGGGAGATAATAATAGAACAACCTACCAGGAAGTTTTGATTAAAATGTTAAGGGTGTGTGTGTGTAAAAAAAAAAATTCCTTATAAACTGCAAAGTACTATAAAATGTTAGCTATTACAGGTAAAAATTCAGCTGTATTTACAGGAGCTCTGTACCTCTGCCTGACCCACGGGCCGGTGACCTAGAAACTTCAGTTTCCTTTCACAGGGGCAAAGCCCTAAAGCACAAGAGCAGTGCTCAGCCCCAGGGATCTTGTTCCAGCTGACAGATAAGAATGATTTGTAAATAGCACAGGCATCGTTTTATGTTCCATCTTCCTTAGTATTGATTTGTTTATCAAAAAATTTATTTATAAGGAGTACAAAAATAAACCAGCCCCAGTTCTGCAGGATGTATCACAGGTTCTGAATTAATGAGGTCCAAATTTATGAGGGCTCTGAATTGTTACTTTCTTTTCTTACTCATCTGTGATTGGGTGAGGTGAGGAGAAGCTGATATGTTGGTTACAGAAGACGGGGCCCTGTACTCCCTGGGGCGGTAATACACCTGCCACCCAGCCATTCTCTGAGGGAGACATTTCTTCAAATAATGGGTCATGTTCACAGCTGCCACATAGCCTGGAATATGGGCAGAAGCCTTTAGCTCAGCCCTGAGAATTCTGGAAATGTGTGAGTTGAGACCATGAGGTTTTATGAGAATGCTCCTCATGAAGAGCTATGTGCCTTGAGAGATGAAGTCACTGATTCCAAATTTGAGGCAAAATTCTCATGATCCTGAAGCTGTAGGTCCAGGACTACTATTGTCAGAGTGTGGTCTCTGGACCAGTAACATCAGTGTCACCTTAATAAATACACGACCTTTTTTTTTTGTTGTTGTTTCATTTTTTGTTTTTTGAAACATGGCCTTGCTTGTAGTGAAGGCTGGACTTGAACTCATTATGTAGCCCAGGTTGGCTTCAAACTCTCAGCAATCCTCCTGCCTCAGCCTCCCGGGTGCTGGCATTACAGGTGTGCACAACCACACCTGGGTGTAGATAATGGGAACTCATGAGATCTATCCCATATCTACTGAATCTGGAACTCTGGGAGTGGGCCCTAGTGATCTCTTGTAAGCTCTCCAGGCTACTTGGATGCATGCTAAGGTTTGAGATGTGGAGTAAGAATGAAGGCACTTGATAACAACCCTCCAGAGGAAGAACATGGAGCCCTGAATATAAATCCCAACAAGTGCTCACTGATCTCACTTGAACTCGTTTACTTTTTTCTACACTTGTACTAAGACAGTAGTTCTCATTGTACTGATACAAGAGCAGAGCTTTTCCAGAATATCCCTGCCTAGGTCTGGACTCTGCATTAGAATCTCAGGAACTGATCTGAGCATCTATGTTTAAAAATACTCTCTCATATGATTCCAGTGTGTACCTGAGATTGAACTCTGTGGATCTGGACTGTGTCCTGCTAGGAAAAGATGATTTGGTTTGTATTTCCCTTTACCATGGACTTACTGTTAAATGTTTATTTTACCTATTTATATGAGAAAGTTTTGTATTCATTATAGAAGAAAAGTTGGAAACTATAAAAGAGTTAAAAGGAGAAATAAATTAACACGCATATTCCAACCATCCTAGGGCAGCTGTCAGTGTCTTTGTGCATTTTCTTTCAATCTTTTCAGTGTTGGGGAGCGGTTTAATGCACTGGCTTAAATTTTAATAGCTGTGTTATCATATTTAATTTAATATAGCACCTTCTATCCACTTTTTAACTTTATATCTTAAGTAGTTTCCCACATATTGTAATTATAAGTACAATTTTAATGTGTGTGTGTGACAATGTGAAAAGAATGTGACTTTCTCTATTTTTGCAGTACAGACTTTAGGATGGCATTTAGAGTCCTTTCTTTCCTCACAATGGCTGTATTCAAGTGTATTGTAAAGTGTTACTTTGAATGTCAGAAGTGGAATATTAACTTCTTTGAATTTCTTTCCCTGCAGTCCTTAACCTGCCCTCGGCCTTTGGTTTTAACTCAGCCCTAAAGGTAGATGTCTGTCTCTAGCTGATGAGAGATATGGTCCTATTGCAGAAAATAAGAAAAGGAAAGCAGAGAAATATTTTCCTAGTGTTTTATAACCATCATTCTACTTGTTAGGGCTAGTGGTTGTAGTAGTTCTTTTAAGTCATAAACCTGCGGTCCCATAGGTTGTATATGATTTGTGAACACACACACACATAGAACAGACTCCCTCAGGCCCACTCCTGCTTGTGTGGAAAGAAAGAAAGCAAATGTGCAAAACAAGAGAAAGGAGAGGTGGGGAAGAAGGAAGAGGACAGGACAAGTATGAAGGTCGTGACTTACAGTGATTCAGTGTTCAATTTTGTTTTGCTTTTTCTATAGTTTGAAAGGAGCACACATTCAGCAGCAACCATAATTTGAATGTTAGTCTGTTCCTGGAGGAGCAATCTGTAGCATCATGCTCTTGCTCTATGTAGAATAGTGGCAGCAAGCCACAGCAACAAATCAACCATGCAATCAGAAAGGAAAACAACTGACACTCTACAGTGTGCTGTGTTGCTGTTATCGTGTTCATTAAATGCATTTTGACTTACGATGTTTCAACTTGCCATGGGATTATCAGGATGTAACTCCATTGTAAGTTGAGGAACATCTATAAAGTACTGTTCTGATGTGCTTTGTGCCTAGTCAGAAATGCCACAATCAAGCCATGTGTTGCACTCCCCCATTTTTAACATAATGTTATTCTTTGTTGCACAGTAATATATACATATACATATATGTGTGTATATGTATATAGTGAGAAATATATTCTCAGTAATATACATGATATATTACCTTTACTCCGTGGCCATGTCTACCTTCTGACTTAGCCGCTGGTTTGAACATAGCACACCATCAACTTGTACTGAGATGGAGCTGCAATTGTCTTCTGTGTTGGTGTCATGGATGCGTCAGGTAATTCTGCCCCATCTTCTTACAGGGCATTATGGGAAGGATGCTTACCGAAGTGGAGGACCAGATCTCCATAACTTCATCTCATCTGGATTTGTCACATTAGGAAGAGGACACACGAAGGGTACAGTGGAAACCATTTTTTACTAAAATACAGAGGTTGTCTAGGGAACCCCAGTCTGAAATGTGAAGATGGTGTGGCGGCCAGAGGCTTGACTGGGACAGAAATAAGTGGGGAGGTTCCATGCAGCTTGTCCTGGGAGATGCATAGCTTCTGACAGGAGTGACCAGGACATCACATGTGTAACTTTAGAGAGTGATAGACTTCCAAGAGACATCCATCCTGCTCCACCCATGGCAGGGAGCAGGACACAGATACTGGTGGCTGCCCATGGAAGGGGACCACATACAGCATGGTGAAAAACACTACCAATGGATGTGGCAGCATTTATAAAGTGTGTGCTTGCCTCTTGGCTATTCCCTTCCTATTTGAAAGCCACGTTTTATAACCTGACGTCAATGTTCTATCCTGTGGGTTTCCAAACCAGCGTGCATGTGGAGCGTTTAGTGTCCTAAGTGTGTCTCTGTAAAACTCTGATGTGGACACAAAAGTAGAGGTTGTACAGACCTTCAAGCCACAAGATGAAGGCTAATCTAGCATTCTGCAAGCTGCTTTATGACCTAGCTGACAGCTTGCAGAGCATCTGTGCAGGGGGTATGGAATCCTCCTCGATTCTGTCTTTTGTTTAAACAGAGTCCTACTAGTGTTGTGAGCATTCTGTCACATCAAGAGTAACTGGATCCCTAACTCCTTTGATTACCTTCCCAAAACCTGTGTGCTCTTATACACCAAATGTGAATCCTGTTGTTGGGATAGTGTATCCCCGTCTTCCTCCAAAATATGTGTTTGTTTCAAGTGTGAGTGAACAAGGAACTTTACAATATTTTTTTACATTCCACACCTACTTTTTAAATTCCATATGTGATGTTTGTTCATCCTATAGAGAAAAAATAATCTGTATCTGTGTATGTATTTTCTGTTGTGTCTATTTGTGTCTAAATAAAGTTTATTGAGGATACAGGTGGCATTTGTTGCTGCTAAGAGTTGCAGAGTCAAATTGGGACCAGGGGGGAATGGGCTACACAGTGAACCATTGAGAAAGATGAACCTGAGCTTGCCAGCCCATGTGTCATCCATCTCATGACAGTTACCTATACCTGTGAAACAGATTACTATAAAACTTAGCATTTTAAAACAATAATAAACACTTATCTCACATACTCTCCATGAGTTGGGGATTCAGGCATTTCTGAGTTGGGGTCTCTTGTGGGTTTGCAATCATGAAGTCAGGCTGAGCTGCATCATCTGATGGCTGGACTGGGGCTGGAGGATCTGCTTCCAAGATGGTGTACTCATGCGGCACTGACTGTTGGCAGGAAGCCTCACCCCTCCATGTGATAGTCTCTCCATTGAATGGTACAGTATGGTGGCTGGGTATGCTCAGCGTGGGTGAGCTAAGAAAGAGAAAGGTAGAAGCCACAATATCTTTCGTGACCAAGTGTATTGGTTACACAGTAACATTTTCATAAAGTCTTAGAGTTACACAAGTCAGTCCTTTTCAGGGAGAGGTTATCTGTTCAGGGACAAGAATGTCCAGAGCTGAAGATCACTGGGAGCCATTTTAGAGACTATTTTTTTCACACCTGCAACACATGGACTGGAGCTACAGATCTGGATTTTTCAAACAGAACACAGCAACTCTTAACCAAGACTTCTCAGCTGCGTGCTTTCCCGCGTTCATTCCTGCCTCTTGTGGGCAGTTCAGCCTGAAACACCAAACACTCTAAACTGTAGAACTTTTTATGCTTGACAAATATTTAATGAGGCTTGTTATGTGCCAAGGAATATCAAAAAGTAAACAAAATAGAATTCATCCTTATGGAGTTCACATTTCCTTGGGGGAAGAAAACAGAATAAATTCTTGACAATAAATGCAAGGATAAAAATTTAAGTAAGAATACTGAGAGCGCTGTTGCAAAAGCTACTCATGGTAGGCCAGGCTAGCCATCATAGATAAGGTGATGATCAGAGTCTGCCTCCCAGGGAGAAGCCATAGGAAAAGATGAGGCAGAAGCTTTCCTGTCTGAGGAAATGAGAAGGAGGTCTTAAGTGTGTGTGAAGCAGGGCAGAAGAGCTTCAAGGCCCTAGATGGTATTGGGAGGTCACCTGAGACTTGGAGACGAGGTGAGAATGGAAGAAGCTACTGCTTCATGAAGACCTTCCCAGATCCTGCAGAAGGATCCTGGCTGGATCCTTTCTTTCTATCTAAATGGCAGTCTCTGAAGATTAGGTGAAAGATAATCTTTAGGCAGAAGATATGGCCAAACCTCTTCATGAGGTCTGGTGCAGACTGAAAGGAGAGTGAATGTTGAGAAAGGGAGGAGTGTATTTCAGCAGGTGATGAGATCAAAGCAGGGGAAGTGATGTTCATTTTAGGAATCTCAACAAAGGAGTTGGCACCATGGCCGCTCAAACCTGCAGATCTGAGCAGAAGCAGCAGCAGAGCTTAGGGAGTTCTACTGGGAATTCCATCAGGCCACGCCGGTGCCACCTGCTTTACCTCTGACTTGCTGAGAAAGGAATGAAGCCAGGAATTGGTTTTGATGGTCAGGCAAATGCACAGATTTTAGCCAGTGATGATTCTGGGTAAGTAGTCTAGCAGGGATAAGATGGAGCACATTGGTCAGTTCTAGTGGGAGGATGTATAAGATTTCTGAGGTGCTTTAGCTTTGAGGCATGATGAGGGATGAGGGATGACTGAGGAGTGAGTGGCTGAATGCAGCAGAGGAGTGAATCAGAGCTGTGCTCAGAAACCTCCATTAACTTCTTCATGTTGCTGCCTTTCTTGTTTCCAGTGCACTGTGAGTGTTCCACCCAGTGCTTCCCGCATAATCAGGATGTGCTGCTGACCTCCCACAGCGTCTCCCACCCCACCTGCTGGGCTGACCCACCTGCCCCTCTGAACCTCTCTCACCAGCCAGTTTGTCTTGGCACTGTGCTTGCCTCACACAAGGCTTGAAATCAGCTTTTCTTTTCTAGAAAGGAAGGCAAGATGTGGAAGCATAGGCCTCCATGGAACCACAGGCTACCACCCCCACATAAGGATTTAAGCAAGAACTCTCAGACCATTAGTGGAGTGTGGCAAAGTGACCCCTGTACTATTTAACTAAAGCAATCCAGATTAGACATGTGCACAGTCTGGGGAGCCAGGGGAGTGAGTAGGATGAAATATGCTAAGGTATTTGAAGGCTGAACTCCAAGGAAAGCACAGAGCTCAGATGGCGTCCAGTCTCCATGGCAACAGGACAGCCAGAGAGATACAGCAAGAGAGAGGTTCAGGTATGGCTTGCCTAAAAGTGGCCTCCGTGAAGCCAGTACGCCTGGGAGTATTCTTTTCTGTACTTCTCCATGAGGGCAGGATTGGGGAGAGAAGTGGGGGTAGAGTGGGGGCGGGGATAGGACTGGTGAGATTATAGCTGAGGGTACCAGAGCTCTAAGCCCGGGCTGGGGATTCAGCTCAGCGGCAAAGTGCCTGCCTGGCAAGCGCAACGTCGTGAGTTTGGTTCCCGGTACCGGAGAAAAACCAAAAAAACCAAAAAAAAAACAAAAACAAAAACAACAACAACAAAAAAAACACAGAGCTCTAAGCCATCTACTGGAGGTTTTGATCTGGGTACATGGGACAGCTCCTTTCCGTAGGCCTTGCCTGTTGGTTGATTTTTAACATCTGAATATGGGGTGCTCATCCTTATCTGGGTGTGTACAGCCTCATTCAGTGGTATTTTATGTGATCCTGGCCAGCATACCAGGCTGTCCCTAAGTCTTACCCTTAGGGAAATGTGTGACATCAGCACGATTCTGTATTTTGTCATAACTGAATCAACTTCACACTGTGGGTAACTAGAAAAACTGATTGCATCAGAAGCAATCATGGAAGAATGGTGAATTCTACCTTCATCCAGTGAATCCATCTCTCAGCATAACTGCCATTCAAGCAAAATGAAAAGAAATAAGACAAAATATAACCCAGTGCAGTAATGCTGAGAGTGTCTCAGTTGGACACTCCTCTTTGCAAACTCAACCATTTTGCTTAAAGAAAACTGTTCTACAAAACTCCATTTGCCTTGTGGGTCCTGTCAGTAAGAACATGCATCACCCTACAGAAACCAGAATGGATGCTATGACTTTTCTCTGTTAGGCTCAGGACTCTGCTCCCACCTAGTTTCAGCAGCAATTAGACCAGACAGGTTGATGAGAGGATTATAGTGTCCTGGACCCACTTTCCAAGCCACGCACAAGTCCACCTCACAGTTGGCATCACCCAGTTTGTTGTCAGGTACCCCATTTGAAGCAACATGCATGGCATTGCAAAGTCAGGCTATAAGCTAATCATACTGCAAACTAACCAAGCTAACTTGTGGCCAGTACAATCTCTTTTCCTGGCACTGGTCTTGGTACTGACTGGCATTGTCCCTCTTTGGGTTACCTCATTCTGAAAAAGTACTTGGATTGAAATGACACATTAACCTGTGTCTACAAATAATAAGTAAGCTGTCACCCAAATCACACAATCTTGATAAATGGTTTTGCAGGGGAAAATTCCCATTCTCCAAGTCCTGTGCTGAATCTGAAATCATACATGTCCTGTTTAATGTTTGTCTGTCGGCCTGCTGCCACTGGCCCATGCAGGTGCCAGACCATTCCACCAAATCAGTCTTCTGGGCTGATATAAGGAGCAGAGAGATGGGCACAATGCACTGGTAGTCTTTTTGTTTTAGAGAGTTTCAACTGTTCTCCGTAGGCTAAATACGTGTTCCCTTCAAAAGAGGAGTAGTGACTTGGATACAGCTAGATTTCCTAAGGGACAAGAGGAAAAACTTTTTGTGCCTGCAATTTATGGATGCATTCCTTATGCTCAGAATCCACTAACCAAACTCTGCTTTCTAACAGGTGGAGAGGTTGGGTCAGACTGATGTAAAACCTGTTACATCCTGAATCTTGGTGCTGGTTTTAAATTCTCTTTTGGACAAAGACTGAAGATCAGGTTCTGTTTTCCCAGAGTC